GTCTACCATCTCTCAAGATACATTAAGACTTTCATTTCTGCTGACTTTCCAAACTGAAAATAAACTCTGGTTGTTCTGAAGTTCTGAACACTTTCTCACCTCTCATTCAGTTCCTTTTATATATAAAAGTTCTTCACTAATGTGCTCTGAATAAGCCCAAACACCTGTATCTTTTTACCTCCATTTGTACACAGATGCTCAACCTAGCTGTTCAGAGAATGTAAGGAGATGAATCAACCACAGCAACTTCCTGGTGTACTCTCCAGGTCAGGATTACAAGACTGCAAACCCAAAACCTCACCAAGAATCAAGTACACTTCTCAAAGTGCTATATCATCAAAGGCATAAAACCCAAAATTAATGAGTTGGTTTCAAGTCATGCTAACAATTTTTTTTTTTTTTTTTTTTTTTTGCGGAACCAGGGATTGAACTCAGACCCTGGCACTTGCCAGGGAAGCGCTTATTCCACTGAGCCATCTCCCTGGCCACTAATACTAATTTAAAAAAATAAACACCAAGTATCAGGCCACTTACAAGACAGCACGATCAATAGAGAGGGATTTTCGTGAAACACAAATATTCTTCACATTTACTAAAATAAGTATCCATAAAGCCTGTCCTATAAAAGTTTCTTCAAACATGCTTCCACAATAAGGTTCAATCCCTCTGTTCTTTGTGTGCCCAAAATATTCTATACATCTCATCTTCTTCACTGTGGAGCTCCTTTCTGTAGAATGGAACTACATACTGTTTACAGTCCTTGGCATTTTGCTCCTCATAGAGTAGACAATATCTGTAAATACTACAAGACCAAATATGCATTTAACACAATACCAGCAGTTAAGCAACAGGATAATTTAAAAAGATTCTTATTAGATTTCATGTCACCTTATATGTAACATAAAATCTTCAGGGAAAGGAATAAGAACAGGGCAGACAGTCCTCAGGCTTCTCTGAGGAACAGTTTCCTGAAAATGTACCTGTCCTTGACTAAAAACTAAGAACTCATAAGTTCTCACCTGCATATAGACAGCTTAGGCTGAGGACCGTCACATCTTGTAGCCGAGAGGGATTGAGAGGCTCTAACACAGGTAGAGAAAGGGTATCCAATGCCATAGTTACATCAATCACCAGTGAATGAAAACTAGAACATAATGGAAAAAATCAACAAAAATATCTCCTAGAATCACTTGCTTTTATAACTTGAAAAATGAAATCAACAAGTTATAAAATACAGCCGTTATATCGCTTTCAATCAGACTGAAAAGACCACGCTCCCAGTAGCACCTTACCCATTGCGAACAGCAGTGGCATCTGCTACTGTTGCAGGCATGATGAAGAAGGAATTGGCCAACACTGCATCCTGGAACCGATTGATGTAGCGTAGGAAATATGGCAGATTCAAACAAACACGCAGCAGCTTCTCGGAGCCACCTGGATCAGTGAAAAGGTACAACCTCACAAAAAGTCCTTACTGATGCCCAAACCTATTCCACACAAAACATGCACACTTGAATCGCTGGCAGCAAGAAACCGGCTTTCTCACAGTCACCAGAGTCATACCAAGCTCTTGAAGACTAGCCACGTTCTGAGCAATGAATACATTCTTGGTTTTGATAGCAGAGGCTTGATCTGTAGATGACTGGTCATCATTTTCTCCTTCCACCTAAGAGAAACACAGGGCTAGCAAGACACGCCCACCTCTCACTGCTGGCTGTCCTGCTGTGGAGAACAGAAAGTGAACAAGCAGCTATGTGGCTACTCTCATACCGCCCAGCTAACGATGGGACAACCCTTCATCTATACCAGAGAAAATCAAGGTTGTTCATTCAAGAAGAGGGGAAAAATATGTAGCTTCAAGCAATTCATATTTAAAAAAAAACATAGGGGCTGGTGAGATGGCTCAGTGGTCTAAAGCACCTACTTAGAACAAGCTGAGCAAAAGCACAGGGACCGCGGTTCAATCCCCCAGCACCACATGCCAGCCAGCCCCGCCCCCTGGTGGGCTGAACTGGCCACACACAAAATAAATAAATAAATCAAAATATATAGATATATAGATATATAGATATATAGATATTTATTCTAGGGGCCGGCTTGATAGCTCAGCAGACTAAAGCGCCTGCTTAGGTAGAGTGCAGTGGCCAGGGTTTGATGCCCAGTGTGCTGTGCCAGCTGCACCCACAGGGCACACTGAGATGGTGAGACTGGGCGTGGTGGTGCACCCCTATAATCCCAGCACTTGGAAGGCTGAAAACAGAATTACTACAATCTACATAGTGAGAGCCTGTAGAGCCTGTCCTAAATACATATATATATATATATATATATATGTGTGTATTCTATAGCTATACAGTGATGCCTTCTACAAAAAATTCCACAAGGTCTTTATGTTTATTTGCATTGAAAAATGCCTAGAAGAGTGGTCATTAAAATAGCAATAATAACAGACAATGTTGGGGTGAGTTTTACTTTGTGTTGTCTTCTATTTTTTCTATTATCATCACATAACCTTACACAGTTTAAAGGTGTGAATACATCCTAAGCACTGCATCACTAGACAATTTTATCATTAGGCAAACTCCTCAGAGTGCACACCGGGTAAGGCAGCTATGAGATCACTAGACGACAGAAGTTTATGCGACAGCCATAGTACACGTGATCCATCCTTGACCAAACCACTGCATGTGGGATGTGACACCATTTATTATCACAAACATAAAGCACGCTACTTCTTTTTTTGGACTGCTATCATCTTAAATCCCATGGAGACCAGGACATTTGGCTGGAGGAACTTACCAGTGCCTGTGGACTGACGGCTGGTGAAGTTACAGTTCTAGGATTAAAAACTGAGGTCAGCTGGTTCAAAAAATTCATCTGCACCTCCTTCTGCTTCAGCTCGGGGCTTACTGGTGAGGCCAGCTCTTTCTGATCTTCCACTGTAAAATATGAAAGTAATACCCGTGATCAGAAGAGTGCCATCAGAAGGCAAAGCTGCCACAGAGGCGGCCACACAACCAGGTCTGTAAAGGACACCCACCATCAGAAAGTGTCTTCACTGTTTGTGGCAGCTTGGCAGATTTCATCATTGCTGTGAATGTGATTATTTCAGTTCTATCTAGTCGGCTACAGCCAGTACACAGGCCCTTGATTAGGAGAATCAAGTGTTTCTGAAAAGAAAACAAATTCAAATACATCTCACAAGAGATTTACTCTTTCAGGAATTCTAACTAACACAAAAGCAAATTTTGGGGGCTGGTGAGATGGCTCAGTGGTCTAAAGCACCTACTTAGAACAAGCTTAGGGGCTGGTGAGATGGCTCAGTGGTCTAAAGCACCTACTTAGAACAAGCTTAGCAAAGCACAGGGACCGCGGTTCAATCCCCCAGCA